AGCCAATGACCTGCCCTAAGACAGAAGCTGCAAGGTTGAGCCATAGCAGTCTTAGGGGCAATCAAGAAGACTTCCTAAGCATGGCTATGAAGGGCACTGCTGCATGCACTGCAGCAAACCATGATATTGAGAATTTCCTAGTGTGTTCCCTCCAGATGCCCAGTGGGACGTTAGCTGCCATGCCCAAGACTCCAATCGCAAGCATCTTTGCGGGTAATGACTGAGGGCGCAGAGTCTTAACAAAGGCAGTCCTGGCAAGGGCAGCTCTGGCTGCAACCACCGCAGGTGGGCATCTAAACTTCATTCCAGCTGGTGGCTGAAGAGCAGTTGCCATGAGGGGCAAAACATGGCTCACGGCTCTGTATGACTTGGCAATTGGGCAGTTCCCCGTTTCCAACCACTCATTTCCCAGTGCCTCATGTTTTGACGAATCTCCCTAAGAGATGACAAAAAAAGATTGAAAGTTGTGAGTAATCAGCTAACTAGCAAAAATAACTTTTTGTTTCAATTTTTCAATTTTTTATGGAAAAAAACCTCACGTAGATGACACCATAGTGGTGGATTCAACAATTATACATTTGTCCTAGTACATATATATACCTGAGAGGATGATTCTTTCTTTTTCTGCATCTTCCATTTCTCAGAGAAAGAATGAAAACTGAATGGCCCTCCTGATCCAAATGCCGAAAAACTGATGGTGGCTGCTTTTGCAGCTAAAGGGTTAAAGAGAGGTGCAGGCTCAGGTTCTGGGTTGTTATCATGAAAGTGAGACCTTCCTGAGAGTGGGACAACCCCATCTTTCCCATGGAAAAGTTTGAAAGCTATATCAAAATTGGGGCCATCCTCAAATATAGGACCTTTGCCTCCCCTTACCTGCTATGGTTAAAGGAAAGTGAAACATTTGAAATAATAACAGTATCAAGAAATATCAGCACATGGGAACTAGAGCACAAGACGAACTAAGCAATTATACCCTGGATTCTAGCAATATCAACGATTTAACACAACTCAGAAACACATTATATTATGTGGGGAGAAAGACAACTCAGCATCAAAACAAAGAATAACAACTTACAGGAAGAGAGAAATTCACAGAAGAGAAAGAGAAGTCGGTCGGTTTGTTGATGTTCCTCAAGAATGGACATTTCTTAATGTCCTGCTCATTGAAGGAACAATCAGATGCCTCTTCATTCAACCCCTTGAAGAAAAAGTCCATTGTTTTCTCTAAGCAATTTGTCTGCAGAGTAGATATAAAATTTAACATAATTTTCCTTACCTGAAATGTGTTATAACATCTGAAATAATCCACGATATAAATACGGTGTAGATATTGTACACACAAATTGTGTCCAAAATAAATAAGACAATCATCACAAGGTTAAGCACAGAATCAAACCTCGAAATTGTGTCACATAAAGCCTAAAGAAGAAAAGAAAGGAAGGAAAGGCAAAACATAACTGATATTTGCAGGGTCCAGTGTTGCCATAAACGGAAAGATTCATTAAATACAAAGAGAACGACTCGGTGTGCTAAGCTACTTTGCAAGATAATAACATTTACAATAACAACTACTAATAATAAATTAAGCGTTACATCTCTATGAGCTAATGATAATATCTTATTCCGCTCTCAACTGCAATATTATAAAATGATTAATAGAACACATTGGTGAAATGATACATCTGCGGGATAAGCTCAACTCAACTTTACTTGACCTTTATCCCGACTATTGGAAGTCCATGAATCTTATTTCTCCATTGTACTCTATCAAAGGTGATATACTTGATGGATAAGCTAATGATCCATATTATAGACGCATTCCCATGCTTTCTGGAAGAGTACACCTTAGTTTTAGACTTTCTGGGGAAAGTAAAGCTAGATATCTGGTCATTTCACTTCTAACCTCTTGTCTTTTAGAGCTCATCTGCATGCTTTCTAAAAAGGGACCTATAGTTCATAGTCTGCACAATTTTTTTTTGTCTAAATCAAAAGATGACATATCACTGCTGCTGTTATATGTGCATGTATGTCTATAGTATAGCACATTGGGTAGGATGTCTGCTTTGCCTCTCCTTGCCAACTCCAATAGATATCTACGTTTTTCCAAACAAAACTTTTGATATGTGTTGCTTAACAATATAGCCCTTTTTCATGCTAAAAGAAATTTATATTTCCACATCTAAGATTTGTTGGCCAGGTCTTGGCAAGTGTCCGCCCACATGTCTCAAATTAATAGTTCACATTTTCAAAGGATGGACATGTTGAAGATGAGACAGAATGCATGGAGAGCCTGCAAACTGTTGGAGTATGAAACATGTTAGAATGGAATACAACTACAGATAACGAGGTGAGCAATAATATAATAAGACAATTCTAGACAATTGCAACCTGGAAGCAAACATACAACATCAAGTAACTATTTACGCAATCCGGCCCCTAAAGCTAACGCATATAAACACCAAGCAGGAGCTCATACACGATATAGAAGCTCGATCTTAAGAAATCTTTAAGACTCTAATGCCCCAAATAACTTGGTCACACTTTCCTATTCCATTGTATAGTATTATGTGTGGTTTGTGACTTTGACTGGCAAAGTCTGGATAATAAGCAATTTGGAGATTGTCAAGGAAAACAAAAGCAAAAGAAAGGAGGTCGTCTCAGAATTGCCGTGAGTCCATTTTAATTTTTCCTGCCCCAAAAAACACTTCCAAGTTCATTTTATTAATCAAATAAATCCTTTTTTGGGGGGCCTTATTTTGAGTTTAGACTTGAAAAAAAATAATTGTTCATGCCTTTGCTGGAAAAAGGACCTTCAATACCAGTGGCAGTCAGCCCTATATTCCGTTCAACTAGTTCTTCGCTTATTATGACAACCCAATAATTAGGCAAAATTTTGTGGTTTGGTGGGCTTGCTGGCTTAAAAAGCATTCGGCGGACTAAATGACGCCCTAATTCCAATACTTTGTTAAGAAAAACTCCCAACACCTCCAAGTAAACTGCTTTAACAAGAATCACATAAGCTTCTTCCAAACCCTAATGAAGGTGAGGCTAACAATTTTGTTTTTGTCAACAATTTCCATGTGTGACAGACCACAACAATTGAAAATGATGATACACACACAACATATATTCATCAATACAAGTAAAAATTTACAAGATATTTTAAAAAAAAAAAAAAAGGGTAAAACTAAAACAGAAGAGAACAAAAATTCTTATGGAAAAATGGATCAGTCTATGGCAATTACCCGGCCAAAACTCTGGCTAAATACGAAACTTTCGAAGCACCCACACAGAAAATTTGCAACAAACAATCAAAACCCAGTAGTTAATTACAACGATTATGGGCAATTTGGACCTCAAAATTGAAAACAAACACATAAAAGAATCAACAAGCGAATCAATGAAATACCCATTTGACCAAACATTGGAATTATACCATAAAACTAAACGAATTTGTAATAGGAATGAGAGATAATCTCCTCTAGAATTTGGAGAAGGGAAGGGGGGAAGGTGTTACCGGCGGAGCAGGTAGCCTCCGGGTAATTGAGTTCACCGGAAAATAGAAGAAGTGGTGCAGCTGAGAGACGTGTGGCCAACACAGACCACAGCGAAGGAATTAACGCGAGCTCTGGTGCTTGAGTATTGAAGCCGGCGTTGAATGACCTGCTCAGCCGATTATATTTGTCGTGTGGTGACCGGTTGTTATCAGCCAGATTTTCTGTTGAACCGAACCAACACGCGGTCCACGCCAACATTAGTGGGTGGGACACCAACTTTTACTATAGTGGGACAAGGAGGAACCAATGGTCACCACTAACTTAAACTTTGAATTATTTTACCAAAATATTATTATTTAACTTATTTTCCATTTTGCTATACTTTATTATTTATAAAAAAGTAAGTTTATTTTCCAATAAATTTCATTTTCAAAATTTTATATTAAAAGCAGGGAGTTAATTGTCTTTATATCTATATAATAAATTAGTAGTAACTTGAATTTTTATCCTATACATATTTTTTTTCCCAAAAATATCACATCAGTCAATTATATCACATGTTCAATCATTTAATATTTGATTAATTTGTAGTTTAATATAATTTTTATTTTATACATTATTCATATACGATACTGTATACATGTTGAAAAAATTTTATTGAGTTATGTATTTTAATAAAATTTTAACGTTGTTTTAAAGAAAATAATAAGTAAAAATTAATTTTAAATAATGTAATTAAAGAAACAAAGAAATAAATAGAATATTATTTGATGTAGTGGAATCAATTTTTTAAACGTTCAAATTTTATATTTCATCGTACGTTCAGGCACAAGATATAACTAATAACAAAATATGCTAAAAGTATCGATACATAAAAGATAAAGATAAAAAATGTCATGTTTTGGTAAAATAAACACTAGGAAGGATTTCAATCACCTCTAATGCTCTTTTTATTTTTTTCTAGATTACCCACTATTTATTAATAAGTAATTCACTTATATATAGTGGTCTCACTTGTGTTTAGAGTAAGCAATCTCCACAAGAGAAAAATATACTATAGATTATTTTTTTTTGTTGATAAAACTATGAGAAGATCTTACTCTATGTTATTTTGAAGGATGAAAATTGCATTTTGCATTCAAAACAATTTAAGAATTTTTATTTTAATTTTTAAAGATTAAATTTTTTATATTGAATCTTCAATGTATTAAAAATATTGTATTATTGTCTTCCGTTAGCTTTTGTCAACATCAATGGGTAATTTTTAATAGAATAAACAAGAAAAGTTAACGAAAGTGTCACATTGAAACAATTTTAATAAATTATGGGTGTAATGTGATATATGTAATATTTTATGGTACAAAATAAAAAAATTTAAATTTTTTTGGGAATAAAATATAATTTTTCCTAAAAGTACCTTTTAACCATATACTAGGTATTACGTAAGTGTGAAGTGATAAATTTGAGGAGGTGATTTAATGTAAATAATTTTCAGAGGAATGTTGATAGTCATTGGATGAATGTATATGAAACATTGATATAAATTTATTGAAATCTGTCATATTTTATATTATAAATTTGATTTATTTAAATAATAGTGTCAAACCTTTTAATATTAATTCCACTTTATTTATTAATCCTGTCCAAATCAATTACAAATTCAGAATCTCATTTTTTTCAAACCAAATCCTTCACAAAATTTGAAATTACTCCATTCGTTCAAAGATATCGTATCTAATATTTTCTCTTGTGACGAGTTTATTGTATCACTTTTCGGATTATTTATGTTTAATATTAAGGGTACGAATTTATAATTTGTGTCAACTCATTTTTTGGAGACGAACTAATATATCCCGATTCACCTATTTGTTATTATATTTGTATCATATTACACATATTTTTTATGGGTAGCAGAATTTCAATTTTAAGAAATCTACTTAATTAGTCCAATTTGATAAGATTGATGATACACAAAAGTGTTTATACAAACAAAATCAATCAAATATGTACTGCTGTATGTGATGGAGTATGATTAACACAATCAAACACACAAAATAAGTAGTTTAATCTGAGTGATCTATTCTACAGAGAATGACAGCGGTAGTTAAAAAAATTTATTATTCAAGGTGTTCAGAGTTCTGAAAGATGAGTGATGTCCCCATGGATAGGTAAGACTTATAATTTATAGGCAAATAAAGTTTCATAACAGCTTCGAGGGAATCCTGATTGAGACATCATTCTTGTAATGAAGAGAGGGTGGTTCCGTGAGAATGACATTATTTCTGTAACTAGTAAGGTGACTTTGTGAAACTGGTGATTTACATTTCTATGACTGAGTTCTACAAATACCCTTTTTTAAAATGGAGATTTCCACGTGTATTAATAATAGACTTGGTCTTTTAGGACGGTGAACTTGACCTAACTGAAATTGTGATTGAACTTTTATTAATTTGCATCTGTAATATGGGTTTACTCTGCATGTATGATACCAGACCTATCTTGTATTAATAAAAATATTTGCGTAAGACCTACTAATTTGACCTTTTACATTGATTTATGAAGAAAATTTTCATAAACTATTTGGTTGGGGTGAAATTCACCTTAATTTAGCAAGAAATTTTTGATAAACTGCTTCTACTGATGTGAGCAAAAAGGAGAAAAATTCCACCCCAGAGAGAGAGAGAGAGAGAGAGAGGTCATTGAATGCTTACGGAGAAGAGGTCATTGATTACGCTGAGTAGGCCTCAGCAACTATCATTAATTGCTGAATAAATTGTCAAATATCAAAACAGCCATTGTCTTTTTCCTTTCATCAAATCACAGCAACAATTGACTCCCCATCTTCGCGAGCGAGCGAGAGAGAGAGAGAGAGTGACGACGACGACTTGTAGATTTTGTTTATTGCGAATATTTGTATAGAAAATGTATCCCGGAAAATGATAGGTGTATATTTTAAATGCTGACATGAATCATGCTTTCTCTAATTTTTTTCTTTTTCTTTTTTGGGTGCTGAAATGTATTTTTGAGAAGTGAGCAAGGCTAATGTCCGTTCGGTTTTAATGCACTAATTGCAACTTGGTTTACTTATTGAGTATGGAAAAAAATATATATATGATACCAAATAAGTAAAACATTGATATATCGATGAAAAAATTAGTTTACTTAAATTAGTTTTACACTATTTCAAGAAAGAAGTCGAAAAGTTAATCCTCAAGGGGATGTTAGTCTCATTTTCTTAGTTTTTAGGCTAGTATGAGAACCTCCTAGCATATCGTTTAATAATAAATATCTTAGAACCTAAAGTTCTAAGCGACCTAGCTCTAAAAGAAAGGGCGATGCATTTCACTCCTAAAAACTATACCATACCCCCGCCTTTTAGCGAATATTTAATGTCCTTCATGTTATGGACAAACACAAGCCAACATGTATTGTATAATACACGTTTTTAATATATAAATTAGTTGGAGATACAATATGAGAAATGTGATAGATGAGAGAGCAATGTGGACATATAACTATGATTTGAGGTGAAATGTAAGAAAAGTGATAATTGAGGGGATAATATGAGACAGAGGACATAGTTGGGAGTCCTAAAGTGTAATTTGCTCTTAATGATATTCGAATAAAATTGGGCCCTTCTTTAAAAGCTCGCTTATGTTTTAAGCTTTACCCAGTGCGGGCTTATAATCAACCCATTTCAGACAAATCCATTTGTGGCGAGCCAGATACATTGAATCTTTTTTTCAAAGTTTGGCGACTAAGCATTGCTTATCATGCTGGTCGCCACCTTTCCAAGGCAAAATCAGATTTAACGGGCCCTGGGCCTCTTTTGGGCCATCTACATTAAACGTGTATAATCTTTATAATTGATATTTTAAACTTGTACAAAGATGCCAAGCTTACATCAATTACTAGAATCCTTTTTTTTTTCCCTCTGTTTTATATTCAATTCCCCCCTTAACTAAAATGACCGGTGAAATATGTTTAGTCAATAGATTGATCAGTACAAATTTATACACTAGACTGTTTATGACTTTATCATTCCCTCAAGAGTCGCAAATTAAAAACTTAAGGACAAATTACACTCAACAAGCCATGATTAAAGGGTTCAAGCTACCCATGCATGGCATGATGAGCACACTCTAAGTGGATTATGAGTGTAGTCCAAGAGACGGATTGTTGAAGTTCCCCTACATTGAGTGCTAAAAACAATTTACTATTTTAAAAGTAGGGTTGATAATTAAGTTAAGTTATTTGGATTCGGTTTGGATAAGACTCAATTCAAGCTCTGCTTGTGTTTTATACGAACAGAACTTAAACAAATTTTTAGATCCATTTAAAAAACAAAGTTAAAAAGTTCAATTCGAATTCGCAAAGTTAGACTCGTTTATATGAAAAATAGTCAAGCTGTTTGGATTCGACTCGACTCTATCTCGGCTCACTTTTTAAATGAGTTAAATTTAAACAATTTTTTAAACTTATTTAAAAGAATAAACTTAATAAGCTCACCCTTGTTTACCACCATTCCAGGCTCTAACCTGTTTCTGCAATAGTTTGTGTCCTTTCCGCATCAAAGATAAGGAATTGACAAATTTGTTGTCCGTTTTTAGTTAAATGATGGGATTCGAGCCCTACATTATTGCTCCATTTTTCTTTGGACTTCTTGTTCTGTAATCTAAGGATGAATGCAATTAATTGCAAAACTCGTAAATCGAACAAGCATGATGTGTCTTACGACACTCGAGCTTAGAATTTTAAGGTGTTGACTAGTAAAATCTAATCATCCGAGCTACCCCCAACGGTCGTTTGAAATTTGGTCTTCACTTCACAGTAGTCCTAAATTCCACCAAGATCTAAGATGTTTGGGTTAATCATTCTTGTTTAGTACTTTAGGCGGTTCTTCTCAATTTCCAAAATCCCAAGTTATTGACCTAGTTTTATCAAAATGTCAACTGATAGACAAATAAAATGTGTGAAATTCCAATAGCAACCTTATCATACCCTTATTTTAGCCATAGGACAGCAACATGTTATTTTCGACAGGCCCTAGTTTTTCAATCCAAACTAAAAATCCTGTTTAAAATTTTAAAATTCGGGTACATTTTGAGGAGAAAAAATTTATATTTATAAAATATATCTCAAAAAAGAAACAAAAACCCACGTGTCACTCCATTTATTTTGTTAGTGTTTGTGTCTTAGTTTAGCGACAATGACGATGCACAAATCTGATTATGCACAATCAAATCATTCAAATGTAT